CTAATAGGGTTATTTGGTACATTCATTTCACTTTTCTCTTATGTGTTCGAGCTATTTATGTAATTGATGATTCAAAGGGTGCCACTGAGATTATTTTCATCCTTTATGAGGTTTCAATACGGTTTCTAGATATTTTTTGAGTTCTGTGGTTAACATATTAAGCAGTATAAGGAGATTATTGCCCTTTGAATAGTTTTATATGAAGTGTACAAGGAAAGCATAAATCTCCTAGGATTTGTTCGTCATAAGGGTGATTTTGATGGAGGCTGCTGAATTTGGTGAAGTCCACATGATATGCAAGCAATTTAGTATTTGAAGAATAAAGAATGTCTTGTAGTCTGGACCATCTTATCTTTGCTTTTCTGTTTTATTGCTGAGGACATAATTGTGTGCTTTGAGTTGTTTTTAGCAGAGTCTTCTGAAAGTGGAGGTTTCCTTCATTGAAAATGTGTGCTTTGTTTAGCATCTAACATAGTTAATTGTCCTGGTTCTTATTGAATTGATTGAATACTTTCAAGTCTAGGAGTGGGAAGGGGGGACAGTTTAGAAGAGATTGTAAATATGGAGAAGCCTAGTAATGCATGGCATAAGAATTTCACTTATGTAGGAGTTTGTTTCAGAATTTGTGATTCTAGCATAATAGTTTGTTGTATATGTACTTTTGGAGAAGTTTTTGGCTTTGAGTGTTTTGAATACAACTTGGGATTTTGAGTCGAGGGTTCCTTAATTTCTTTTAAAGGTAGCCAGTTTATCAGAAGTGAAGTTGTTTCAGGTTTCTTAGTTTTTAGGGAACTTAAAAAGCCTGTTTGAGTTTATATTGAAGGTACACTAGCTCATGTGACCAATTTTTGTCCACTTACCTCCTTGAAATGTGTTTATGCAAGAGGCATGTGTATACTTTTCATGAAAAAGGATGAAAAAAACGTCTTTTTCTATCCTCAGGGGTTTTCCATAATTGACCCTTTATTTGGGAAGAGGAAGGGGTTTTCTGCATTTTATAGGGCAAAGTTGGTTTAGTATCAATGACTGCTTAATTTATTGTGATGCTTGAAGGCATTGTGTGTTTTCCTTTTATTCTTTTATTGTTGGGTTATAAAGTTCCGTTGACTCCATTTTCTCAGTGAAAAGGAAACTAAAATTGTCTGGTTGTAAACTTGCAAAGGAAGTTGTCAGCTAGTATTAAACATATACCACAGCTTTTAAAAACTGTTTTCTAATGGCTATCTGTCTCTTGCTTGTTTTTTCTTCTTCTTCTCTCTTGTTCTTCCCCTTTTGTCTTTTATTTTCTGGCATGCAGCTTTGTCAGAAAGGGATCAAGGTTACTGTTGTTTGTCCAGGGCCGATAGAAACGTCAAATGGTTCTGGAGCAACAACTTCCGGAACAAAGTTTTCCTCCGAGGTGTGTTCCCTGTGATCATAAAATTAATCATGTAGCTAATTGGACATAGAAAATATTTTTAAACAGTATTTTCTGTGGATCTCAAATTGTTCTTCAATTAACTACAACTTATGGCATGCAATCTGAATGGCTTGAAGGCCCAATACTGCTCAATTATTGTCAACCTAACTTTGTATTGAAGCTAATTATTCCCCCTTTTTTTTGGTGTTATTGGACTATCATAAGGAGTGAGGAAGGCTATTAAACACTTTTTGTATATCCATTTCTACATGTTGCTGCCCTTTAATACTGATTAAGTACTTAGTGCAGCACCTGCCTAAAACATTTTTTGGGATTTAATAGTAGAACATGATTTTTAATAAAATTCTGTGACTTTTTTAATAGAAGCGTGTGTCAGCTGAAAGGTGTGCAGAACTTACAATCATTGCTGCCTCTCATAGTTTAAAGGAAGTTTGGATATCATGCCAGGTATTTACATTGAGGTTTAATTCTTTTCCCTTGTTTTTTTTTTTTGTTTATTTTTGTAATGAGGATCTTCCTTTCTTATGTATCAATCCTTACAACTAAGAAATATTGTGAATACGGTATAAGCAATTAATATAATGACTAGATGATGATAGCATGAAGATTAATATAATGACTATATATATTTTTCTTATTGTTGATAATTTTCATTAATTTTGTATGAAATTTTAAATTTTATACTGTCCATTATTATGTGACTCACTTGAGGCACAGTGTCTTTCAACTAAGCGCTGAGCCCCTGCGATGACTAGGTCAAGCGGCATAACTTAAGCTTCTTGCGCCACTGCAAGAGCAAGGAGCAAGTAACAGATGCTTGCAAATAATTTAGTCATGAGAAGTCACTCTTCACTTTTAAGTTTTAAGTGGACCATTTAGTCGTCATCCCATGAGAGTGGTTGTCTACTTTATTCTTGTATTATATACCGTTCTCATTATGCCTGGTCTGATAAACTTATGTAGGTGCTACGTTGGCTTTCATGTTTAAGCTTTTTGATGGTTTTCTCTTTAGCAAAAAGTAGATAAGATTCATAAGAACAAAATTACATGTTTTGGGCACCCGAGCATTTAGCTTATTGGTTGGTGCATTATACCCCTGCCTAAAGAGCAGGGTTCGAATTCCCCTCCTCACCCAATTATAAAAAAAAAAGTTACATGTTTTGGGTTTCTTTTTTCAGCCTGTGCTAGCAGTAATGTATCTGGTGCAATACATGCCTACAATTGGCTTTTGGCTTATGGACAAGGTATCTTCATCCTTATTTCGATCTGCTCCATGAAAGTTTTCTTTGCATTTGATAGGTCCCAAAGTTTTCCTTTGAACAGGTTTTGCATAGAGCGTGTCACATTTGATTTGTTGCAATTAGCCTGCTGTATTATTTCATGTTTCTTTTGGATAATTTCACAAAATTATAATATTGACCTACCTTTGCTTTGCTCCTCTGCCTGCGCCTGACGGTAGTCGTATCAATAATTTAACGATAGGGTTCTTATTTGTGTAAATGAGTTACAGGTTGGAGGGCGTCGAGTAGAAGCTGCTGCACAGAAAGGCAACACCTACTCGTTGAGCTTACTCTTTGGGAAAAAGAAGGCAGCCTGAATTATTAATCAGACACTATGCTTGTATTTTTCTCTAGCTAAGGTTACTTAAGTTGTTGCACGTGAAGAACATCTTCGTCTCAAGGTGATTGGATTGCATAATCGTGCAGCTTAATTAGAGGTTAAACGTTACTTTCAAGTGTTAATTGCACATATAATAATGCAGTTTACTGTTTCTTCTGTTGTTCTTTTTATCCTTTTAAAAGCCTTGTGAAAAAACTTGCAGCTAAAGTCGAATAAGGTTAATTTAATTTTAATGTATGAAAAGTAAACCCGTGTCTGAACAAGTTGGAAATACGTTTGGAAAGGAAACTTGGATTGAAACTTGGATTGATTCTCTGTCTTTAAGAAAGATCTTTGGAGGATTTTCACTTCTTCTCCCAAGGAGGTTTTTCCCTTTGGGAAGGATTAGGACAGGAAAGTATTCTCCATTATTGCTTGAACTTCTTCCGACGATGGGTTTACATCAGCTGAGGGAACACATTTCAATATCTTTTTCACAGATGAAATCTTAAACAAGTCATTCCCTTTGAAAAAGAAAGGTCGAGTTCTTCCCTTAAGTTGACTTACATCTTGAAAGTTGTCTAAAGTATGATCATAATAACAAAATTAATATAAGGTCTATGCCAATCACCAACATTTCTCATCATGACACTTCTAAACTAGCATTTGATGCAGCACTTTTGAAGCTGTAAAGTATCTTTGAATATAATAAAAAATATTAATTTATTTACAGTAAATGGTGAATGTTCATTAGAATATATTTGTTTATTATTATTTTAAAATATCCTAAGTTCAAGAAGTTTTTTTAATGTTGGAAATTTTTGCAGTGTTCAGTTACTTTGTTAAAATTTTATCCAAATATCATGCTTCTGCACTTGTAGTAAAAAAACTCTTATATAAGCTGAGTCAATTACCTGCTAATACAGTAATATATCTCTAAATTAATATTTAATAAATTAATAATTTTAATTAAATAATATTTTTAATCGATCTTGAGACCAACATAGTAAATTAATAATTTACTAAATTTATAAGATAAAACATTTAAACAAAAAGATATAGATCTCACTTGATACAAAAATTAATAATTTTTTATACATTAAAATTATATATATTTGTATATGAGTGAATAAGGAAGTTTTTGTAAAATATTACTCCAATGCTTTTTTTTTTAAAAAAATTAATATCTCTTTAGATCTCATTTTTAATTTTTTTTAATGCATTAAAAAGTTTGATATAGTATTCTAGTATTATACGAGAAAATTATACAAAATGATTGTTGTTTTGAGTATATCTTTACATGAGATAGACTTTAATAAAAAACTATCGTCTTTAATTTTATTTTTATTGATGTTTTTAATAATTTACCTATCACAAAAAATAATAATTCATAATTTAGTAATTAAGTAATATTTATATAATCACAATACATAAAATATGTATTAAGTTTAATATTAAAAAAATAAAAAATATTTTTTATAAATTAATTTTTTATTAATTAATATATAAATTTATTTTTTTAATTAATTTATTAATTAAATAATATTTCAATTAGTTAATAAATTTTTATGAGGCCATGGGTATTAATTAGAGAGGTTTATTTGTATAATAAAGAAGTTTTGAATTCATAATAAAAAATGTTATCGATGCCTACAGCCATGGGTTAAAGAAATATTTATAGAAACAAAATTTATGACTAATATATTATCTTTTTATCAATTTGATGAAAAGTAATGTATTAAATAAAAAATTATTTTGTAAAATAATGTTTTAATTTGAAATAACCTTAATCAATACACACATAAATACTGTTAATCAGATTTTTTATAATATAAATTAAATTTTTTTTAATGTTCTCGAAAATCGAAGGGACAAAAAAGCTAAAGACGGCAAAAAGTTCTCGAAAAAGGTTCAGGCAAAGGAAACGCCTTTCTTCCGCTCTTTTTTGTTTTTATTTTTATTTTCCTGAAAATAATCCTTTAAAAAAGAAAAACTTTCCCTTATCTTTTTATGAGAGGAAATTAAAAAAATAGGGAAAAAGAAAACAAAAATCTCACGGATTATACCACAGTTGCACTACTACAGGTAGGCAGAGGGAAGAGAGAAAAGAAAAGCTGTCCAGAAAGAAAGAGAAAGGAAAGAAAAGGGAAAAATCAGTTTGGGAAACGTAATAACCAAATGAGCCTACCTTTACCAATGAGGCTGCTATTGCCTTTAACCCCTACCACCAGAACTCCTTCTTATTGCTCTTCTTTTCTCTCTTCTCCAAACCCTAATTTCACTTTCTCCTATCATCCTCATCACTCGTGTCCTTTAAGAAGGAACCCACATTCTTTCTCCAAGCAAAAGGTATTCTCTTTGCCGGTTTTTTGTCATTTCAAGCTCTTCTGTCTTTTTTTTTTTTAATGGGAAAATTAGCTTGTTTTTGGAGGTGGGTTCTTTACTTTATGATTGGGTCTTTCTTAAAATTATGAGATATTGAAGCTTGTGTTATTTATTCGTTCATAATTGTGTTACTAGCTCTAGCTCTGAGTTGAGCCTATAATTTTTTTTTATTTTAATAAGGGGCTGAAAAGTTGATTCTTTTTTTTTTTTAATTGTATAATGAGAATGTTGTTCATTCATGTCTTCAAAGAAGGGGTAAAAGTTTCGAATTTTTGTTTTGTGTTTAGTTCTGCATTTCTTTTTAGTGTTTGTAGTATAATAGTATTGGCGTTGCCTCAGAATTGACTAAAATTGGCTGAAGAATGAAGGTATGGAGTCATTCCTGTAATGGCTGATGTTTAGACAAAAGAATGAAAACATGTCATTAGATCAATTATTCATAACATTCTGCTGAAGAAAGTTTCGGAAATAGTGAAACAGACAAGTATCTGCATATTGAACTTATTGTAGAGGTGTCTGCATGGCTATATGTGCTTGAGGAAAAAGCTATGTGCGCTTAGGTTATTAGTAGCTGCAACTGTAACAGGAGTATCTATGTTACCTAGGTAAGCTATTGACGATAAAAATGTGACTTCACTTACATTTCATTTTTCATTAGTTGGATCCATGGATTGGAAATTGTGGGGATGGCACTGGTGTTCAATTAATGGTATGCGCCTTTGGGTACATGTCTACTGATGATGTATCAGTACACAGATGTTAAGATGGTAACCTGTAGGAATGGTATTGGGGCAGTTTTGTGATCATATGATGTTACAAAATTAAAATATCTGAGATGTGTTAGTCACAAGAAAGATATATATTTTTAAATATTGGGGATGGAATCATGTGCACTCCTGGTGATAAATGATAATATGCTTCTGCACCCACATCCCTAAAAAATCAAACCGTACAGGGTGGGGATGGCAGGTTACCAATGGGAACAGGAGAGATTGTATCCCTAATAAATTTGAAAATTACATGAAGAGAGAGAGGCTTTAGGAATGATCTTCTATTGATTCTATTGGTTTATGGCATCTTTATCACGGACTGTGGCATAGGATTTATTCTAGTCCAAATGTTTTAGTTGCTGTTGGAAGGTAATGACCTAAAGTTTCTTGTAATGTCGTCTATCGTAGTGACAAATAAGATAAATATTAAAACAGAAAAGAGGGAAGTGAATTTGTTGTTAAAAATAGGAGAAAAGTGTATGTAATGATTTCCGTTAGCAACTCTGTGGTTGATTACCGGCTAGGAAAATCTTTCTGTGGACGCTCCTTTCTTGGCTGCTTAGTGTCTTAAAATTTGCATATTCTCCAAATTAATATTAAAAGAGCATGTATAATCCTGGGTGCAAATTGTGAGGATTTGTTTCCTTTGCTCTAAAAATGATACTTTCAAAGCATTAGATGTTGCCTATTGTATTTTATTAAGGTCTTGTAATAAGTTCTGTTGAAGAGTAAAACAATATCCTAATTTGTTTGTGCAAATGCTCCATGGGGCTGCTTACTTTATAAAATTGATTGTTTAAGTTGCTTGTGCCAGAGAGGTTTGCAGTGTTATCCAATTTATTCAGTTGGTTCTCTAACTTTGCAAAGTTTGTGTCTTATTAATCAAGCTTCTCGTATCCATTAAGTATGTTAGTAGTACCTGGTGACACCAATCTAATCCACACACATTTTTTTCACAATTTTCCATATGAAATTTGCAAGAACAGATATTCAAGTTATGAATGTATGTTTGAATTGAATGTTTTCCATGTGTAAATGTCTCTTTCGTTTTCTATTATCTTGATTGAAGGATACTCGACTTTGAACATGTCAGAAATTAATCTGATGTCCTGGCTGATCACCACTCTTTGTGGGCAGTTGGTTTTCACTAATGATTTACTGTCAGGGGCTCTGTTTTTATGTACTGGTATAGTGGCTTTGTGGACATGCAAGAAGAGATCAAGAGATGGATGGCTATAGATATGAAGAGGAGAATGCAGTTTGCTTATTTAGTTCTGATGAAGATACTGGGACACAGATTCCAACCCAGGCCCAATCTATTGTGGAAGGGTCAGGGGCAGTTATGGTTTCAGAATTGAAACCTGTTCCTGATGTAGATTATTTGCAGGTATGTAATTTTTCTGTAGGACAATATCACTTTTGTTGAAAGTTTTCCATGTTTTGATTTGTGGGGATGGGCAGAAAAGAACTGAGAGCTTACTGTGGTCCTCCTACCTTTTGTGTAGCTTGATTCTATAATGGATTTATCCATGTGTCCTTACATGTGTCTCTTTGTGAGAACTTTGTTTTATGATATGCAACTCTGAAGAAACCTTAGGTGGCTTGTGAACTGAAAGTTTGACTACACCACTATTTACTTTAACTTAGTTTATGTGGTGCAATTATAACTAGAGACTACACCACTATTTACTTTAACTTAGTTTATGTGGTTCAATTATAACTAGATGATCAGAGGAACTTTGGCCATGTAATATTAACCTTTAATCATAAAAGGTATGTAACTCAAGTCTTGCCAAGGTCAAAGGTGCATCTTGAAAGCATTTGCTGATTTTGTCTTTTGTGCTGATTTCAGTGTTTTGGAATTTTTTGACTGCTAACCTCTCTCTGTGGGTATATGTTTATGCAGGAGTTATTAGCAATTCAGCAGCAAGGGCCTAGAACCATTGGGTTTTTTGGGACTCGGAATATGGGATTCATGCACCAAGAGCTTATTGAGATTCTTAGCTATGCATTAGTTATAACTGTAAGATGCCATTATTATCTTTTTCTATATGTGGCATCAGGGATACTTGTTGCACACTCAAATGTTCTGAGTCTCACTATCTTTGTTCTCCAGGAAAATATGTTTGTACCTAAAATTGTTTTGTTCCTCATCTTGCTGCTAATGTTGCTTGCAGAAAAACCATATTTATACATCAGGTGCATCAGGTACTAATGCAGCTGTTATCAGAGGCGCTTTAAGAGCAGAGAAGCCAGAGTTGCTTACAGTAATATTGCCGCAGAGCTTGAAGAAACAACCACCTGAGAGCCAGGAATTGTTATCAAAGGTAAGCATGTAGTTATAGCATTTAGCTCATTCTTAGGAAACTTGTTGCCCATGCCATTCGTTATAATTATGGCTTCATCTGATATTGCTAACTTCCTTACATTTGTTAGAATTGTTTGTTTAATAAGTAAACACGTTGCTTTTAACATCCATAGACGGAGATTCTATTGAAAATTGATCATCAGTTCATTGAAACCTGTAAGACTGTGCTGTTAAAATCTAGTCAAGCTATATTGTGTTCAATTATTATGTTGAAGTGTTGTTGATGCAACACCACAAGCCTGTCACCTGGAAGTTTCTAACTTGAGTTGCTTTTGGTGTCATGGTGAAAACACACACCAAGGATTTATCTGTTGCACTTGGAATCTGGAATGTGGATTGTGGCCACAGATGATCTTAAGCATCTAGTCTAATCCATTTTCTGCCAGTCCAAGGCTTGCAGTAATTTAATGATGATATTTCTTTTGTATTAAGCACCATGTAATAGATTGTTATCGCATGCGATAGTGAGGAGAAAATTTAGTTCTCAAGGCTCATAGGCTTTTTGAAAATTTTTATTGGAAAAATTTCATTTTTTGTCCCTTATCTTCTACAACACATTAAAGGATACAAGATTGCTTATACTAGTGGGGCAAATTTATATTTCCATTCTATATTACTTAAGTTGGAATGTGATTCTTTGTTTGACAATTTTTCTGATGTAGTCAAAGGGTTTAGGGCTGCATCATTTTCTTTTGTCTTCTCGTTGTCATAATTTTGCTCAAAGACATAAACGAAAAGGTCCTTGGTTTAGTTGCTGGGGCATTAAATACAACATGAGTCTCTAAGTTTTTATGCATGGATTTTATTGCTTTATAGAAGATTGTTGCTACAATTGTCCAAGCCCAGGGAGCCACCGGTAATATTGAAGAATTTCAATGCCTTCTGTGCAGTTATAACATTAAACATTGTAAATTGGAAGTTTAAACATGTTTTACTTAAGATCTCTAATTGAATTTTGAAGGTGATAATTACATATTGATGTTTGAAATGTATTTAATGTTTTATTCTCAATTTTTCAGGTGAAGACTGTGATAGAGAAGCCTTATAATGATAATCTACCTCTGATAGAAGCCAGCAGGTTCGTCATAACTCTATTTTCTTCCAGTTATCCTTTAATCACACCTGCAGAGCAGAATCAGTCTTAAGTTTTAGGTTTCATGGTCAAATAACGAGTTGTGATAAGATCTTAAGAAGAAGGTGATGCTGGACATTCTGTTAATTTGACGGCAGTGAATTTCTTAGCTACTCATTTACATGGTTGAATGATAAGGCAGTTGTTTTTCTGAACAAAGTATTCTTATTACTCTGTCATCATTTTGCATACTTGCATGCTATAACTGTGTTCGTCCCATATTCTTAACAGCATAAAGCCTCAAGCGGCAAAGAAGAATGACTAGTAGGGTTTATAGTTGGAGGTTCTATTATCTCTTGGATTTCACTTGAAAAACTTAGCGGTTCTTGCAACCACTGTTCCTTGACTTAAGCTGAGCTTGTTAGCTTGATAAGCATTGGATAAGAAGCAGAAACTCATTATTATGCCAATTTAACTTCATACTATGAGCTGTGGCAGTCTTTACAAGGCACTAGTCAATTTGACCATAGTCAAGTTAGCTTGGTCACTATTCAGTTTGACTTCGGTCAAACCTGTGTATAAACACAGCTGAAATATGTGTAAGCTAGTTGACTACTATAAAAGAATTGGAGAATGCAATCCTAGCTTGTGCGAACTTATTAATGCTGGGTTCATAGCTTGCCGTTACACACCTAGTTTGTAACATGTGATGAAGGGGTAGAGAGAAAAGACGCTACCAGAGGCAACCCAGAGAGAAAGGGGAGAAAAAGAGAGGAAACAGTCATATCCAAGAGGCCTAGAGAAACAATCATCAATAGTATCCATAAACCATAGTACATGGTAAACAAGTAAACAGGACTAGTTTGTAACTTGTGATGAAGGGGTAGAGAGAAAAGAGGCTACTAGAGGAGACTCAAGAGAGAAAAGGGAGAAAAAGGGAGGAAACAGTAATATCCAAGAGGCCTAGAGAAACAATCATCAATAGTATCCATAAACCATAGTACACGGCAAACAAGTAAGCAGGACTAGTTAATATACCTAACGTACATATAAAATCAAGATCAACCCTACAAACATATGAGATTAAAAAAAATAAATCCATAAATCATATAATTATTCCATTTATATCATCTCTCTGCATTACGATCTGTTAGCACAAGCTGGGTACGATGTGAGTCACGTTACTTGCTTGAACACTGTCCCACTTGTCACATTCATATATAGCCTCCTATTGAACTCGTCATATTGCTTATAAACTGGTGAAGCCATCTATACTACGCCCAAGTTTTACATGCAGGAAATATTTCTAGCATCAGTTGCAACAGTTACTTGCTATTGGATTCTTGATATTCTTTGTGGTTTGATAGACAGCAACTCATCTCACATGAAGTCTATGGTCAAATTTGCAGGCTGTGTAATAGGGACATCATTTCAAATGTACAGCAAGTCATTTGCTTTGCCTTCCATGACAGCAAGTTGCTCATGGAAACATGCCAAGAAGCCAAGAGTCTGCGGAAAATCGTGACTCTCTTTTACCTGGACTAAACAATGTCATCAGTTGTCTATAAATTATTTGGAGATAGGGAGAGCGCACGAGAAAGAGCAAGCTTTTGATTGTAAATTATACAAATTGGTTTAACCATTTTCTTGTAGAGTGAACAATGAGAATGGGGCCAATTTGCTCCTTTCATTGCAAATGTCCAGTGGGGTTCTTATTGGTTCATTAAAGACCGAAAAGGAAATAAATTTTATGCATGCTCTGCATTAACTGTGAAACATAGTTAGATCTTTGAAAACTTATATCTCTGGTAAAAATGCCAGGCCTAGGATCCCATTCTACACTGATTGTTAAATGCAGTCCTTGAAATTTGTTTTTTTTTTTTTTTTTTTGTGGTCATTTTGGGGACTTAAATTTCAGGGCTGGGATTTGGATTTTGGGTTTAACAATGGTTTTTATATATATATATATAGGATGACCATGTGATTATATATAATCTAGTATGATAAGGTTGAAGATGTGAGAACTATTTCCTTTGGGAGTGAATAACTATATAGGTATATATAGTAATGTATATTTAAATTATATTATTATATAATTATGTATTATATGTGAAGGTTTTATTAGCATTTAACATTTCTCTTTTTACATTACGGTTGCCGATTTTAACAATCATGTCAATGCGGAAACAATTTTAAATAGCACATTACGACGTCGTAGTAGAGTTTGATATTTCGCTCTTTTACTCGCCTCCTCAGCTGCCTAAGGTTCGCATTTCTCACGTTTCCAGAGAGGAAAAGAGAGGCCAAAAGAAAAGTGTCTTCCCATTTGCACCCAAGAGAGAGGCTACTTATCGAAATGGCGGCGGTGAGAGGAGCTTTGCTAAAGCACTTGAGGGTGAACGCAACGCCCCTTGCCCGTAACCCTAACCCTACCAGTCACGGGCTCTTTTGCTCTTACCTTCAACGCTATAAGCCGCCGTTTCTCCGACGAGGTCAAGGGCTCCTTCCTCGACAAATCTGAAGTCACCGATCGCGTCATCTCCGTCGTCAAAAACTTCCAGAAAGTTGATCCTTCCAAGGTCTTTACCGTTTCACTTCACTTATTTTTTTGTTTTTCCTTTTTAAAGTTTTTTGGTTATAGATGATTTGTGTACTATATACTTCGGGGATATGATTTGTTTTCTTAATTATAGAAATGGTGATATTTAGGGTTTGATTTATTTCCTTCTTCCTTTCTATTAACTAATAGCTTTGTTTGATTAAGTATTGCTATGCTGTACGTTTGCTTTTTTTTTCTTTATAAGTACTGTTTTAATTCTATAGTGGCAGGGAAATAGATAATTGTTTGCAAGCTCCAATGCGACCACAAAGCTAATGCTAAGTGCTTGTTTGTTGTGTTCTTATTTCCCGATATATATACTCGTATTTGCTTAAAAATTACTAAGGTGTCGTTAAAGGTGCCGTCAATTACGAACTTTCTAATATGAAGCTGGATAAGTGCCTTTACACTGCTTCGTCAATCTGAAGTTGTGGTATGTTTCATATCCAATTGTGGAAAACAGGGGCTTAGGTTTTGGATTGTTTCTGCCTACTTTATGATTGGTCGAGGGTATGCAGTTGCATTTATTTAAAATTGATTAGATGCTGGTTTGGCATTATATTTCTCCTTTTTCTAGTTGTTCGGCTATGATAATTTTACTGTACAATGTTCAGAACAAAAAAAGGCCCATTCTTTAGCTCTAGTTAAGTGCCACCAAATTGTTGAGGTAGATTTTGAATGGACAATCCTGCTCATAGGAAAATGGGAGAAATTTTTGTTTCGTTTATAATGTAATTTCATTTTCTTAGTGCTGATTTCTGCCTGGTTCTTATGTTTTCTCGACATTCATCCCTAGAGCAACTCTTTTTGTTTTCTTAATTGGGCAACGAAGGGAATGTGAAGCTTCTGCAATTTGCATGTAAGCAATTTGAAGAGAGAAGGTCAGGCACAAACATGCTTTGCTGTAGATAATCATAAATATGGGTGCTTGGGTGAATGATAAATCAGTCCTGACGAGTCACTTGACTGAGGCACATATCTTTTGCTCCTAGATTTGTCTCTTTGTGAGGAAAAGGCACACAATTCTACATTTGCAGTTTCTTTTTTTTTTATCTCTCATTTATTTTCCTCAAAATATTATGAGATGACAAAAAAGCATTTTTTTTAGGCTAATAAGAATGCAACTTCTAACAAGTTCTTTGGGTTGCATATAGAATTTTGCTCTTGTAGAGTATTTCTTTCTGGTTAATATATCATTTTTCTCTTTAGTAGGTTACACCAAGTGCGCATTTTCAAAATGATCTTGGATTGGATAGTTTAGACACTGTGGAGGTTGTCATGTCCCTTGAAGAAGAATTTGGGTTCGAGATTCCTGATAATGAGGCAGACAAGATCAGCACAATCAATCTTGCTGTTGAGTTCATTGCTTCTCACCCTCAGGCAAAGTAGGTGGGAAATTACGAAGCTCTACTCTTTATATTTTGTTTTCACTTTGTTCCTGTGAGATCAAGAGCTGCATTAGGAGAATTATGGGATCTTCCCACCTAGGCTAATGTCAGTAGTGCCCTTTGATTTCCAGTTCCTATTGAGGAGGATTATTTTGGATATTTGCTGCTTCAATGCTGCTGTTCCAGTTCATAAAATGTAACTTTTTGCTGAGAAAAAGGATTGTTTCTTTTATTTCCTCAATAATATTTTCACTTTAACCAATAAATTTCGGTCATTAAGTTAAGAAAACGAATTTATTTGATTGTTGCAAGGCATTGCGTGGCTTCTTTATGGAGGAAAGTTAAGATTTATGTGATTGTTTATTCAGTCGGCAGTTGTATCCAAATCATTCGGGCCTTAGTTAAGTCCAAATCACCTCATAAGAACCAAGCCACACCTCTGGCCTTATCATGACAACCCAAAAGTTTGCAAATTGAATCTATGAGAAGCCCAATATCAAGCCTAGCTTAGGGCTCCAATCGAGTAGAGCCTAGTCAGTACAATGCAGTGCTACGGTCGAGTCAGTCAGCTTGATCCAGAAGCTAGAAGCTGAAGACAGTTTGGGTTCAGTGAAACTTTTACTTTATATGGTTGAGTTAGACTTGTAAAGTTAATTAAGTTAAATTGATTTCGTTTTAATTTGGCTCGATTCGGGTAAGGAATACGGAGCTTTAACTCAGGTTCGATCCCAAGCTTGAGTTTTAACTGAAAAATCAAATAAAACTTTAAAACATCTTTATCCCACAAGAAACACCGGCCATGCTCATAGCTAAATTAGAAAAGGAAAAAAAGAATATTTGGCTAATTAGTTAGTTGATTGGCTTCAGTTCTACGTCACCGTGATGATGGTAGGGTTTTCTACTTTTAGCTTTAATGATAGTAAATAATAATAAATCCCTAAATTGGGTGATGCAGCACTTGTCACCGTATTATTTCTCCCCGATTCACAACGGAAGGGAAGACCGAAGACAAGACCCAAAGAAGACTTTGATTCCCATGAGTCAATGGTCCACATACCAAAAGTCTTTTCTACAGGTTACCCCTCCAACCTTACAAAACTACTATAATGCCCTTTTGCCCAACCTTTGGGGTTGGGTGGCTCCTTTAATATTATACTATTATCCAATCTGCAAAGTGGGGGTAGGCCCAGAGTTGCTTAGTGTACTTTCTTGGAAACGGATTCCTGCGTTCTGAGAAACCACATTCCTGTCGCTGGACTCCAACGTGTTTTCTCTTCCGATCATTGAAAACTCGAAGACCAACGTGTATTTGGGTTTGTGATGTTGGCCATTGTTAAATGTAAATAGGTTGGATTATAATTGCCCACACAATTATAAATTTGCAAACAATATGATTTTCAATTTAAATATGTAATTTAATGATAAACATATATGAATTTGTTTTTACGGAGCAGTTATAAGATGCTTAAAAAAATATTTAAAAATAATTTGGTTGATTGTTATTGCATGTTTTTGTAACCTTGAAAAATATTAAATCAATATTATAAAACGATTTTAAAAGAATTTACTGTAAAATACTAAAATGAAATTGATAATTCTTAATCTCTATACTTAAATTAAATATTAACATCAAAGTGAAAAGCGTTATTTTTGGTATTATATGTTGACCTTTTCAAGTGTCCTATAGACTAAAGACACTGTGACGTAACATAGAGGAAGGAAAGGGTGAGAACTTAAGACCATTGGACATTGCAGCGTCGTCCTCGCTTCTCATTGGCTAGCAAACCCCAAAGGTCCAAATTATGACAAATATGTAGGGTCTCAAAGAAATTAATCGCCCAAAAGAAAAAGCAAAAAAAAAACTGGAAACAACACTTCGTACTCCCACTGGAAAATGTTTGACAAGTCAAATTTGAAATAATGCATGGCATTGCCGTAAATAAAGGGAATGATCAAGGTCAATGAGTTACCAAACATTCTATAACAAGCCAAATCTATGGAAAGGCTAGGCAGAGAGGCAGTAGTCGTAGTAGTTTGTCATTTGCCACTAATGGCGAGCCATGCTCCAAATGTCGCGCTTAGCCTACTTCTATTTTCGTTATTACTTCGATTTTCTATTTCAGAGACTATTTTTGAAGAGCGATTCGAAGGTATTATCTTTTACTTGCTTGCTACTTCTTTGAATAAGGTTTTTTTTTTTTTAATTTTTATTTTACTGGTATTTGAAGAGGTTAAGGACGTTATCAGTTTGTTATCATGATCATGGGATGCTTTGTTTGGTTACTGAGAAAGGAAAAATGAGAGCAACAGAATTTTAAGATATCAGTTTTTGCCATGTCATCAACTGCAATATCTTTGTCAGGTTGTTAACTAACTGCTTTGTCATGGCGGCCGTTCCGACTGTTTTTTCGTTTTCTTTCTCTTATTCTGTGTTGGGTTGTGGAGAAACTCTGGAAGGAAAGAATTGAGAATTTTGAAGTAAAAAATGTGCTTGGAATTTACACCTTTACAAAATGCTTTGTTTGGTAGCTGAGACCAAAAAAAAAAAAAAAGGAGGGAAATTTCATTTTTCAGGCATTGACTTGGCTACTGTATTTAAGTCAACCAGAATTTGAACAGTTAATTTGCCATTTTTTTTTAATTTTAATTTTCTGGGCTGTTCTGTTTTGCTTTTGAAGAAAGCAGTCCTTTGCACTTGTACATAGCTCAGTGATTTGCTTGAAAAGCTTTGCTTTTGGGGGATAATAAGAGCAGTGCTAGGAAAGGGAAAGAAAGAAGAGAAGAGAACAATGATAGGAACCAGTTACCTTGATATCTGCTCTTTTGTGTTTTTTGTCACCTGAAAAGGAAGAACAAGAATTTAAAGTCAACTGAATATTTATTACTTATTTTTTTGTCATTTCTAATAGCATGTGGAAATTTGTTTCTTGGTTTTAAGTTTGTCAAGATTATATAAACATTACTGGTCATAATGATTGGTAGTTAAAGCATCATTTTTGTAGAGAAGGAAATGGTATATAAATATAAAGAGAGGAAAAGCGGAAAAGATTACCCCTTCTCATCCCACAAAAGAAAAAGAGAGTGTTTTTAGATGCTGATCATGTCACTCTTTGTTTATTGATTTTCTTATCTCTCCTTTTTCCAACCTTCTGTGGATGTGGTGAAGCAAATGCTGTTAATTCTTAAAAATTTGCTCTTTCATCATATGCATGAAACAAAGAAAAAAAAAACAGAGAAAAAGAAGTCATTTTCTTGGTTCACCAACCAGTCACCACAAGTGGGCAATCATTGCTTTTGAAAGGATTATCAGTTACTTTTCAGAGTTCTTTGATTAATAACAGCTTGGACTTCGAACTTGCCTTCCTTTTTATTTTGATGCTAGTTTTTTAGTCTTTCCAGAAATTGTAATAAGAATTAAGGCTTTGGTTCTCGATTTCGATTTGATGGTTTCAAGTGACACTTTATTTGGCTGATTCTAATTTTACTAACGCATCCAGCATTTTATTCCTTTCTATTCTTGCATTTGTCTCAGCAATCAAAAGATGGAGCGATGAAATCGGTTAATTTATATTGACCATTATTTGTTCATCATTCTTTTGCCTTGGACATTTTGTCCTGTAAAAAGCTTGTGTCACCACAATATCAGTCTTCTTAATGTTTGTTGATTATTCCTGAATGAAATGCATAAAACCAATACGTTTGTGACTGTAATTTTAGAGCGCATCAGCTTGCAGTCTCTGAAACTCATACGTATTTTTTTTTATGCTTTCATATGTTAGAATTTGGACTCTTAACATTTTTTTGCTTGTTTTAACCTACATTGGTATTATCTGATGCTGTGAACAGATGGATGGCAAAGCCATTGGGTAAAATCAGATTGGAAAAGAACTGAAGGAAAAGCTGGAGGATTTAAGTACACAGCTGGAAAGTGGTCCGGTGATCCTGATGATAAGGGTATGGTCTCACCATTTCTTGCTGGTTATGTTGGTGTTCTTTCAAAAATTGGAGAATATTGGGAAATAAGTGAACAGCATAGCAATTTTGAATATTATTATTATTAACTTCATTCATTGATATCCAACATTAGAATTTGCTTTAGATGTGTTTGTTAACATACACAGAAACTCAAAAAAAAAAAAAAAAAAGAGAGAGAAAACAAAAGACATGTTAATTAATGATACTTGAGACCAGAATTTTCACATGGCATCAACTAATTATGCTACAGAGCGCTTAAATATTCCTCACAACGTGAATCTCTTGTGGTTTTGATAGCCTTTTACAGAATAGGTTTGTTATATAGGGCCTAGACATCATAGAGTTGTTCTTAACCATGGTGTCACCTAGGCTCTTATGTCTGAAACAAGGCTTCAATTTTTATTTATCTGTTTTTCTTTTTAATTGAATCCCAGGACTCGCTATGTATTCTCACCCTTTAGTACTCTGAAAAAGTATTTTACTTTAGGTTTCAATGGTATATTCATATTCTGAAATTATCATGTCAAATTGTTAACCTTGCAATCAAATTGAAAAGTAAAAATCTCAACAGCAGATACCATGAGAGAGGCTTTTGGGCTGGTAAATCATATGATAAAAACTTAAGTGTACCCATCCATGGCCATAACGATTCAATAATCTCTTTTCTGCCAGAATTACCTCTATAATAAAACCACACTGAATCATTTCCACAATACTTGTTTGTTTCCCCATCTGCTGCTGTTTTTACCCTAACCACAATCCCAGTCATCTTTATCATGTCATATTTAAGTGCTTCCACCTCTGAATTGGGCACACTTGAGCACATCAAACATGTACAAGTGCAGTTTTGATAATACAATGCTCCTTTCATTCTATCCCCCTGGCCTGCACTCCTGATTTTGGTTCTTTCGAGTGTCTCCATTGAGCCTGCATTTCACATATGTATTATAGTGCCCGTAGTAGTCATTATCTTTCTGTATATAAAATACCAAATCTAAAGTGTATGATGGACGTTTTCAGTTGCCAATTAAGTATGCTGTGTTAAGTGAGGATTGTAATTCAATGTTTCCTTATCACAAGGTGACTATTGAGTTCCTAACCATGCTTGTGAAATGGCAAAACTAATGTAAACGTTCCTTTTCTCTCATTTTGATTCAAAGTGATAGCATAGTTGGCAGAAAACATTAAGTGTTTGCTTTTTATGTAGATCCCTCTGTAGATAAAATTGCGTTTCCTAATCTGGAAAGATAAATTTAATTAAGATTTCGTTCTGAAAAAGGGCGATTTCCGG